AACGCCTTACTGAAGTGACGTCTTGAGAAAAGGTGAAATGATGACTTTTTGAGTTTGTCAGTTGGTTGGTAGATGAAAAGCACACAAACTGATTTGTGGCTGAGAATGAAGGACAGGTGTCGAATGGAATCTCAAAGAATGCCTTTTTCTTTTCAGTGTCGAAATAAGACATTCTTGGGGGGAAATTTGTTGGCTCTTAAATTCGACACCCATGTTTATTATCATATAGACCATTAATTATGAGTCAGAAGAGTTTCCTACATAAGGAGGCTTCGACCAACTGATCATGTCGAAGGCTCATCAAAGAATGACAAGATACTTAGAGAGATTCCTTTAAGTTAGAATCTTGTTGTCTTCGACGTCAAAGGAACCTCTCGACAAAGGTCCCTGATGCCCAAGGTCGAACAGTTTTAGATTTGAATTGTTGAAGGGAAAACGGTTCCCAGCAGTTACCAAGTGCAACGTGTCGAGAGCATAGGCGTCGAAGGTTGTGAGCGTGCCATGTGGCGTCATCTCGAAGCGGTGTAACTGCTCAGCGGTTACTTAGGATTTTTCTTAGTATAAATACAAAGTTTCTATGTAGTTATTAGTGTGTTCATCATTTTATACAAGTCACTCATTCAGATTCAAGTACCCAGCGTGAGAGAAAGAATCATTGAGAATGTATGTGTGAAACACTATTTAAATTAATCAAAATCTTTTATATTCAAGCGATTTACCGTTGTTCATTTATTTACCTCCGTTGAAGCCTTTTATTTAACAATTCCTTAACGCTTTTTATTTATTCTATCAAGCTTTTCTCCATGCAATTTACTTAAAGTGTCTTTACTTTACTGGCATTAATCACCATTAGGATTAGTTAAACTCCAAAAAACCAACCATGTCTTAGGATCAATCTGATCGATCCTGCTAGTCACCAAATAAGTAACATTTTGGAAGATCAGCGGTTGTTTACCATTTTTCCAGGTAAACAGTGGCTAATATACAGATGATCCAAAGTAGCTTGAGGTTGAGATTAACTAAAGAGTACCTCAGTTTGTTTAGATTGAGTCAGTGTTTGCTCTGATACGTAACACTTGGGGCTTTTACGATTGTTTTATTTTATTGGGAGTGAACTTTGCATTACTCTATTGCTTTGAGTTTAAATTATGAATTATGTGGAATTCTGAAAGATGCTAATTACAACTCTTGTTGGAGAATTGAGAATGATTTTTTATTGATGTTTTTCCGTTGCAAATAAATACAATGAATTTTAAGATCTTTTGATATGTGGTTTGTGTTGCGTATCTTATTGAATAAGCAAGTATGATGTATGAAGCATGTGGCACCATATTTGATGTTGTATTTTAGAAATTAATTTACTCTAATTTTTATATAATTTTCCGACTGCGAAATAGGGTGTTACAGGCAACAATGAGATGAATATTTCTAATTTCAAGAGTGAACTTATAAAAGAATTTGATATGAGCGACATTGGCATAATGACATACTTCCTTGGCATAGAGTTCCACAAGCCCAAAAGAGGACTGTTTATTTATCAAAAGAGATATTCTTTTGAGATATTGAAGAGGTGTGATGTGGAACATTGTAACGCTGCTATTACACCAGCCGAAACAAGGTTGCAGATGTCCAAGAGTGAAGAAGAGCATAACATAGATCCTACTAAATATAGAAGGTTGATTGGGTCATTACATTACTTTTTCCATTCGCAGTCATATTTGGCATTTGGTGTCGGTATTGCGAGTAGATTCGTGGAGAAACCGAAAATGTCTCACTTGAAAGCAGTTAAGAGAATTCTGAGATACGTCAAAGGATCTATTGGTTGCGGAATTCTCTTTCTCGCAGCTTATACTGACAGAAAATGTAATTTACTTGATTTTACTGATTTAAATTGGTGCAGAGATAAAGATGGTTGAAAGTCTACAGTTGGATGCTTTTTTATGTTCAGTGGAGCACAAATCTCATGGTGCTCGAAGAAGTAACCAGTAGTTACACTCTCGTCTTGTGAGACCGAGTATATTTCTGCTTTGTTATGTGTGTGCAAAGTCGTGTGGCTAATGAATCTATTGAAAAAGTTGGAAAGCAATGAGGGTGAGGTTGTCACACTCTTGGTTGATAATGTTTCAGCCATCAATCTTGCTAAGAATCTAATTGCACATGGGAGGAGCAAACACACCGAGATGAGGTCTCACTACTTGAAGAAGGTTGTTAGTGAAGGCAAGTTAAGATTGGAATATTGTAGAAGTGAGAACCAAGTTGTTGATTTGTTGACTAAGGGAGTCACAAATGATGTGTTCAAGAGTTTGAAGATGAGTATAGACATGGAGAAATTAAAACACTTTAATTAAGATGGTGTGATGAATGAAATCTCAATAATTTAAGTGTTACAATTGGTTAACACATTGATCTAACCGGTTATAGCTGAAGAAAGAACACTTATGGAACAGAAAAAAGCACTCGTAACTAGATAAGCAAATTCACACACTTTAATTTTCAATGCTCTTTTTCAACAATATCAAGTGTTTGGAATTGTTTCCACATTGCTTGAAGTGCATCAATCTATCTCATATTGACCTGACATGCTTAGTTTTCTCCACTGAATTTGAACAAAATCCAATGGTAACAACACACTACTTATTTTAAATCTTACTAACTCAAAAGTATAAAATAACTCATATGTTGTTATGAGATTACAACCACCTACCAGTTTATTGGTTCCCACGTACCCAACTATCTCAACTCCTCTATAATGTGTCTCAAACCAGTTCTCGATATAAATTCACACAAATTCTCATAAAATGGACTAGTATGAAAGAATCCAATTTCAAAAGAAAGAAAAAAACTCTTATCTAATGAAGCTTTGATATTTCCAAATTATAACTTTATATTGTCATGCATATCCTATCAACATTTGAATAAGTCATATTTATTTTATTCCAACATTTACAATGAGCAGATACAAACTTAATAAGAAAAATAATATCACATAAAATTGAATTAAATGCAATCTAAAATATCAATGATCAAATTCAAAATTTTAAAAAACTACTAATCCAATTAATCCATACTCCAACAAATAATTTCTTAAGGAGAATAAACCATATATCTCAATTACATAATCAACAAATAGATTACAAAAAAACATATATTTGCTCAAACTATCGCAAATGGTGTTGATACTTCACTTAGAGAACCATAATACAACAACTCGTCACAATCTAATTATTGATTCTTTCGTATCCTTTAAAACATATATAATATATTTTACACCAATATTTTTATTTATGTGAAATCGATAAAGTAAATTAATCATCTCTAAACATGCAACTTTAATTGTTTTAATCAAAACAAGTCCTCTATCAATCAAAATCACTTGAAGGAATAACAACATCCTTAGTAAAAAAATCTTTCATCTTTTCAAATCCAGAAGAAAAAAGTTTATCGGCTAATATTACATATAAGTGAATGCAATTAAAAAAAATCAAAGCAGATAACGTTATTCCAACAATTTTGAACAATGGTAATCTATATTTATTTGTTTTGGATGTGTTATCCATAATTAACATATTTAAAAATATGTTCAACAATTTGATTGAATCTAGTGATTTCAGTTCTTTTTTTATTACAGTTATCAAATCGTAGTCCTCTCTATCAAGTTTAACGTCAATCACCACTGGAGTAACTTGTTAGAAACATTAATTTAAATCAAAATACTTTAAAACTGTAATCGTGAACGAGATCAGTTTCCTTATAGTATTTCAAACACTTTCAAATTGTCTTAGAGGTTTTATGCAGAAATATCTTTGTCCGCCCACAGTTTAATAGACATATTTTTCAAAGCATTATCTTCCATTCAAATGACACTTACATGGGAAAACTAGGCAAGATGAGAAATCATTGTTATTGGCATAAAAAAGGATAATCAAAACAAAAAGTTCAATCCCCGACATAACACTTTACTAGAGGCAAGTATGAACGGATCATACAATGAATTAGTCCATAAAAGCAACATTATTGGTTCAACTTTCAAACATGGTAGTCAATCCAACACAAATTAAGTCATAACCACTACTATTCTCAATAGAAAAATACAAAAAGTTTCTTCTATTCAAATTTCTTTTTAATTGGGTTACATGACAAGTCTTATTTTAAACGGTCTTTGAGAGCATGTAAGATAGATTTTCGCACATGACTTAAAAATTGTCATGGTTAAACTGTGATTGAATATTATCTCATAAAATATTTGTCATAATTAAAACGTAGTTAAATAGAATCTCTAATAATTTTATCATGGTTAAACTGTGATTGAATATTATCTCATAAAATATTTGTCATAATTAAAACGTAGTTAAATAGAATCTCTAATAATTTTATCATGGTTAAACTATAATCTACATAGACTCCAAAAACTTAAGACAACTCTAGTTTTACTAATCCGTCGTGGAAGAGAATCATGGGACCCAAGAAAACATCCATCAGATTCTAATAATGCTTTCACATTGAATTCAAAACTAAAGTTAGTATACTCAACTCCACATGATATATGATGGAGTATACTAATAGGTTGTGACCAATGACTTGGGGAACAAGGCTTCATCTGCATCTTACACGTGCACACCTTTGACTACTGCATATCTTATCTTATATATTTTGATCTAAATTAATATCCATAATTCATAAATTAATACAAAAGGAGGGTTTGGTGGCGGCTATGATCCTCCTTCCCAGCAGCTTCCTAAGTGCAAAGAAAGAGTCATTTATGAATTCTATATAACAAAGGGTATAACCACATATCATCCAACAATGCTACTTCCACTTCACTTGTCACATAGCATCTTTTCCTAGATTTCTCCAAAACTATCATTTCCTGTTTCTGTTTTTGTTCTCATCTTTTGTTTTCTTCTTCTTTCTTGTTCTTGTTATAAGGATCAATCTTTAAAAACATCTACTATAAGAGTCTGAATTTTTTGGTTCAGTTTTGGTAGTAGCTTTGTTTCAATATGCTTTCTCCAAACTCCTTTCTGCAGGATTTCTGTGTTCCCAACACAGTAAATCCAGAAACAAATGGTTTTGAGTTGGAAGATTCACCATCATCTTCACCTTCTTCTGTCGCAACCTCAAATGGAGGAGGATCCTCAGAATCGACTAGATACTCCAATAACATCCTCAGATACATAAGTGACATACTCATGGATGAAGAAGATGAATTGATGCACAAACCCTGCATGTTGCAGGAATGTTTAAGACTTCAAGCTGCTGAAAAATCATTCTATGATGTTCTTGATCACAACAACCATCCTTCATCAAAGGATAGCACAAGCACTGCCCAAGATGGAAATTTCGGTCGCACTGCTAGTTTTGAGAGCAATAGTGGTGGCAGCTGCACCACTGATAACTCATATGAATCTGATTGGGTTAACCTTGTTGGAGAAATCGACTCTTCTTCGTTACAACTACAAACCCCTTTAGTAGAACAAAACTACTATGATTTGATAGAACCAGATCCAGCAAGCCATTTTCAAGATGGAACTTGGAGACAACTACAAACCCCTTTAGTAGAACAAAACTACTATGATTTGATAGAACCAGATCCAGCAAGCCATTTTCAAGATGGAACTTGGAGTTGGAATGACATTCAGACAGTGATTGCGGTTGAAGAGGCTTCGGCTTCGTTAGTAACAAGAGAAAAGAGAAGCCATACGATGGATGATGATGATGATAATTGTAATAATGAACAAGAGGGAAGGGGTAGCAAGCTTTCAGCTAACTTCTCTGGTGAATTAGAGCCACCAGAGATTTTAGATGAGGTACTACTTTATCAAACAGGAAGGTATCAACACCAACAAGCATCAAAGAATGTTGGTTCAGGAGGAAAGGCAACAGCAAGACGTCCGCGTTTGAAGAAAGGATCTACTGATAACACGGAGGCTGTGGATTTGTGGACCATGCTAACTCAATGTGCACAGGCAGTGGCGAGCTACGATCAAAGGAATACAAATGAGCTACTCAAGCAGATTAGGCAACACTCTTCGCCGTTCGGCGATGGACTCCAGCGTTTAGCTTATTACTTTGCTGATGGTCTTGAGATCAGATTGGCTGCCGAGACGCCATCGTATATGCCTATTAATGTGGTAACTGCTGGAGATATGTTGAAAGCTTACAAACTCTTCTTTACCGCGTCTCCTTTGCAGAGAATGACTAACACGTTGTTAACAGAAACAATTTTCAGCATAGTGAAGAACGAGAGCAGCGTTCATATTATCGATTTTGGAATTTGCTATGGTTTCCAATGGCCTTGCCTCATCAAAAAACTTTCAACAATGCCTGGTGGCCCTGCAAAGCTACGAATTACGGGAATTGAGATTCCTCAGCCAGGATTTAGACCTGCAGAATGGGTGGAGGAAACAGGACGGCGTTTAGAAAAATACTGCAAGAAGTTTAATGTTCCATTTGAATACAATTGCATTGCACAGAAATGGGACACTATCCGGCTCGAGGATCTACAGATAGACAGGAATGAAATAACTTTTGTTAGCTGTTTGTACAGACTGAAAAATTTGCCTGATGAAACTGTGGCAGTGAATTGTCCAAGAGAAGCTGTGTTGAAGTTGGTCAGGAAGATTAATCCAAAAATCTTCTTCCATGGAGTTGTAAATGGAAGTTATAGTGCACCGTTTTTCCTGACTCGGTTTAGGGAAGCACTCTACCACTTCTCATCGTTGTTTGATATGTTTGAGGCTAACGTGCCTCGCGAAGACACGCAAAGGTTGACGCTTGAGAAAGGGTTGTTTGGGAGGGATGCTATAAATGTAATAGCTTGTGAGGGTGCAGAGAGAGTTGAAAGGCCTGAGACCTACAAGCAATGGCAGATCAGGAACAGGAGAGCTGGATTCAAGCAAATCAGGTTGGATACTAAATTAGTGAATGAAACCAAAGCAATGTTGAAGAGGGAATACCATAAAGATTTTGTGGTTGATGAGGATGGCAAGTGGGTTTTGCAGGGATGGAAAGGGCGTATTTTGAATGCTTTTTCTGCTTGGGTTCCTGCTTAAATTAATGTTCAAAAGGTGTCTTGTAGTATCATATCTTGAAAAAAATGTAATGAACTTCTCCTTTTCTATTTGAGTTTTTATTTCAGATATTGATGTTCAATTCACTACCTAGATTATATAGCATGAAAATCTGCTTTTTATGAAACATAAATCTAATACTATCATCAAAAACGACAATAGTAACAAAAAGGAAAAGAACACCAGAATGACAACAAAAACTAAGATATTGACAACAAAAACTAAGATATGGCAGCAGTAACAACACATTAAAGGAAAAACAGAACTAAGGAACAATATTCTTCTTATCTGTTACTTGATAGATAAGCATACCAGCATTGAGGTACCTTGTTTTGCTCTGCAGAAACAAGTTAGTGCTTGTAATTTGAACTAAAAAACTCTATTGCCCCCCTTTTTCTTGTTGTTAATGATCAGATATTTTCAAGTTAATATATCAGTAGCAGGAACAATCTTAAAAGGCCTTCAATAAAATTCAAATGCAGCAAGTTTAGTAACGGTAAGAACAAATTCTCAAATCTATCGTTACTTAGTCGGGCTCTTCCCCTTTCTTTTGAAAATTTTCCCATTTTTTGAATTGGTTTCAGTCAGCTGCTAGAGCACGATTTAAGTAGAAGTTAAAGTATGGTCCGATGAATAGAACCAATACTACATCAATGACTATAAATCTAACCGGCCTTATAGAACAGGACTCACATATGTGGCAAAATATGGGGATGCCTTTGTAAATTTCTCCTCCTCTTGAGCACTTGTAGGTTTCTTTCTCGATAAAAAAAAACTGAAAGTGTCAAAGAAAAAGAGGTTCGATTTCGAGGCACGTCACTGCTGCCTACCCGCAAGAAGACATGGGAAAAGGGAACGAGTTTCATGAATAAACTTTTTTGGTTACTACTCTTTTTTATCAATTGAGCCACTAGCCTCTTTGCGAACTTGCACAGTTGATGCAACAAAGATATACGTTCGCTTTTAGTGTATGTATACACACCCTCACCTCAAATTTCGTCCGCCCCAGGTTTAATAGACATTTTTATCAACTCTGTCTTTGTTCAAATAACTGTTACATGGGAGAACTGGTCAAGATGGAAAACCACTTTTATTGGCATAAAAAAAGAAGAATCAATACAAAAAGAGCAAGCCCCGACAAACAACTGTATTTGTAGCATGTATCTGGACAAATCATACTATGAATTAAAATCATAAAAGCGACATAGTAGTTGAAGTTTCAAACATGATAGACCGATAGTCAATCCAAACCAACAAAGTCATAACACTATTCTGAATAGAAAAATACAAAAAGTTTCCATTGAAATTTCTTTTTATGTTGTCTATGATAGATATGGTGTTGGCCTCAAGTGTTAAAAAGATGCATATAGATTAGATGACAAATCTAACTACTCCATCATGGAATGGACCCAAGAAAACATCAACCATATTCAAATGCATTCACATTGAATTCAAAGTCGAAGTTAGTACTGCACATGGTATATGATTTAGTAATAGGCTGTGACAAATGACTTGGGGAACAAGGATTCACCTGCATCTGACACGTGTACACCTTTGACTATTTATATAGAATACAGAAAAATCAAAGACTCTACACTTATCTCTCGTGTGTATGACAGTAACAGATAGTCATGTACATGCGTACTTAAAACAATACTTGACTCTGTATTATTATTATAACTATCATAAAATAATACAAAAAGAGGAGTTGGCGGCTATGATCCTGCTTCCTAGAAGCTTCCTTAGTACAGAGAAAGAACCATTTATGGATTCTATATAACAAAGGGTTGACCCCAATTCATCCAACAGTGCTAGTTCCTCTTCAGTTGTTAGATAGCAACTTTTCCTATGTTTGTCCACAGTTATACTCACTAAAGTCTAATATTTTTACTATAATTGATTCTTGTTCGATCTATTCTAGATATGATTATGGTATTATCCTAACCAGGAGCAGCTATTTAGTTTTCTGAATCTATCTTTCTTGCTAGCATCAATTATCGATAATATCATTTCCTGTTTCTGTCTCGTTTTGTCTTCGGTTTAGTTGATTCATCCAAGTTTTCCTAGCCAGATACATATTTGTGGCTTCTCAGAAACAATCTTCCAAAATATCCATTACAAGAGTCTCAATTTTTTGGTTCTGTTTTGGTAATCGTCTTGCTTCAACATGCTTTCTTCAAATACCTTTTTGCCAGATTTTTGTGTTCCTAATACAGTAAACCAAGAAACAGATGGTTTTGAGTTGGAAGGTTCAACATCTTCACCTTCATCTTTCACAAGCTCAAATGAAGAATCCTCAGAAGGTTCAAGATATTCCAATAACTTCCTGAGATACATAACTGACATCCTCATGGATGAAGAAGATGAATTAGAGCGTCAACCCTGCATGTTGCAGGAATGTTTAAGACTCCAAGCTGCTGAAAAATCATTTTATGATGTTCTTGGCCATAGATATCCTAATTCATCATGTGACGATACCTCTGACCCGGATGGAAATTATGGCCGTACTGTTAGTTTTGAGAGCAATAGCAGCAGCTGCACCACTGATAACACGTATGAATCTGATTGGGTCAATCTTGTTGGAGAAATTGAGTCTTCTTCGTTACCACTACAAACCCCTTTAGTAGAACAAAACTACTGTGAGGTGACAGAACCTGATCCAGTTGTCATTGAGTCACAAGCTGCTAATTATTTTCATACTGGAACTAGGAGTTGGAATGATATTCAACCAGTGATGGTTGCCGAGGTTTCAGCTTCATTGGTACCAAGAGAAAAGAGAAGTCATAAGACAGATGATAATGATGATACTTGTAATGAAGAAGATGGAAGAGGTAGCAAGGTTTCAGCTATCTTCTCTGATGAGTTAGAGCCACCAGAGATATTAGATGAGGTACTGCTGCTTTGTCAGACAGGAAGGACTCAAAACCAACAAGCATCACAAGATGTTGACTCAGTAGGAAAGTCAAAGGCAACTAGTTCGCGTTCAAAGAAAGTATCTAGAAATAACAATGCCACAGCTGTGGATTTGTGGACCATGCTAACTCAATGTGCACAGGCTGTAGCGAACTATGATCAAAGGAATACAAATGAGCTTCTCAATCAGATTAGGTATCATTCTACGCCATTTGGGGATGGGCTCCAGCGTTTAGCTCATTACTTTGCTAATGGTCTTGAGATCAGATTCGCTGCGGAGACGCCTTCTTATAAGGCGCTTGATGTGGCAACTGCTGGAGATATGTTGAAAGCTTATAAACTATTTGTTACCTCGTCTCCATTGCAGAGAATGACAAATTTGTTATTAACCAAAACGATTCTCAGTGTAGTGAAGAATGAGAGCAGCATTCATATTATCGACTTTGGAATTAGCTATGGTTTTCAGTGGCCATGCCTTATCAAAACACTTTCATCACGACATGGCGGTCCTCCAAAGCTTCGCATTACAGGAATTGACCTTCCTCAGCCAGGATTTAGGCCTGCAGAGAGGGTGGAGGAAACCGGACGGCGGTTAGGAAAATTCTGCAAGAAGTTCAATGTCCCGTTTGAATACAACTGCATTGCACAGAAATGGGAAACTATCCGGCTCGAGGATCTAAAGATAGACAGGAATGAAATAACTCTTGTAAGCTCTTTGTACAGACTGAAAAACCTTCCTGATGAAACTGTTGGAGTGAATTGTCCAAGAGATACTGTGTTGAAGTTGATCAAAAAGATTAATCCAAAAATCTTCTTCCATGGAGTTGTCAACGGAAGTTATAGTGCACCGTTTTTCCTGACTCGGTTTAAGGAAGCACTATACCATTTCTCATCATTGTTTGATATGTTTGAGGCTAACGTGCCTCGCGAAGACACACAGAGGATGATGCTTGAGAAAGGGTTGTTTGGAAGGGATGCTATAAATGTTATAGCTTGTGAGGGTGCAGAGAGAGTTGAAAGGCCTGAGACCTACAAGCAATGGAAGATCAGGAACAGGAGAGCTGGGTTCAAGCAAATCAGGTTGGATTCTAAGTTAGTGAATGAAACCAAAGCAAGGTTGAAGAGGGAATACCATAAAGATTTTGTAGTTGATGAGGATGGTAAGTGGGTTTTGCAGGGATGGAAAGGGCGAATTTTGAATGCCTTTTCTGCTTGGGTTCCTGTTTAACCTTAAGTCCAAAAGGTATCTTGTAGTATCTATCATAGGTTGATAAAAAATGTAATGAACTTCTACTTTACAATTTCTCTTTTCACCTTCTCCAATTGAGTTTTTATTTCAGATATTGATGTTCAATTCACTACCTAGATGATATAACATGAGAATCTCTTTTCCGGGAAACACAAATTTACTGCTAATCATAAAAATAAAAAGAGAAAAACAATAGCAATAAACGGAAAATAACAGTCCAATGAAACGCATTAAAGGCAAAACAGAACTAATGGACAATATTCTTCTTGAAAGTTACTTGATAGATAAGCATACCTTCATTGAGGTGCTATGTTTTGCTATGCAGAAACAAGTCAGCACTTATAATTTGGACTATAATACTGCATTGCCCCCTTTTTCTTGTTGTTAGTGATCAGATTAACATACCAGTCGCAGGAGTAATCTCAAAAGGCCTTCAATAAAATTCAAAAACAGCCAGTTTAGCAACAGTTAGATCTAATTCTCTAATCCATTGTTACTTCGACTCATCACAACTTCCAATCTTCAGTCTCACATGTTCCTATATTTGCCTACAAGTTTACGAAGTATCTCAATCATTGGATTTGGATTGGATGCAGTCAAAACACCGTGAAGTCACTTCAATAAAAGAAAAAAACACAGTTTTTAGATCAGGTTGTTAGAACAAGATTGGACGGTTTGTAATTTGAGGTTTATTTAAAATGTATTTGATAAAGTTAGAGTATAGACCGTCCAATCTTGATCTAACGACAATGATGTGCCGGTTATAGTGAATGGCACCTAATCCAAATCCCTAACTATCATTTGGCTTGAATACAATACATTGGTACAACAATAGCCTCTTAAAGTAGTTGTGAAGTACAACTAAGGCAGCCTACTAAAATATTTGTAAAGTACTTTGTGCCTTGTTTATTTCCATCTTCAAGAAGAATCTTGTAGGATTTTAATGTGTTCAATAATCCCAAAAAGCATTGTGAACTATGAACATATTTAGAATTAGCTTGTCACTTGTGATGTTTAGGAGACCTTGTGAACCTGTAGTTAGGTTTTGGTGGTGTTGGGGATGGGAGGGTGTGGATGGGAGCTAAAAAGAGAAGCTCAAAATTGGATTATATTATACTTTTAGCCACTAGGATTTAAGTATGATAGTAGCTAAAATCAAATTCCAATAAATATAACATAATGGTACTGAAAATGATTTGATTCCTCATTTGAAATCAATGTTCAAGCCTTTAGATGTTGTAAAAATACTTCAAACCTTACACTTTACCTTTTGAATTACACTCCTTGCTATATAGAAGTAAAATCTCATAGAAAATAGGCTAATAGAACAACAAATACAGACATAAAAGCCTGGGGCCTTAGACAAAACAAAACCTAGCTTAATTTTGTATGAAATACATCAATCAACAAACTCATCTATTTTGCTTGACACCAGATGATCTAAGAACATTCCAGTCTAGCTTATCTACAGATGGTTTTTTGAAAGAGCCCAAACCATTGTTTGACGATGACGGTTTGTTTCCTTGATTGTTCTTGGGTGATTTGTTAGGATAATGTTGTTCATTAATTACTTCAGACTGCTTCCTTTTAACATTGCCATTAACCTCGGGACTCTTTTCACTCGTGTTATCATGTTCTGTACCTTCTCCTGAAGAGTTATTTTCTCTGAAACAACACAAAAAGAAATAAACTTACACTTAGTATGTGGAAATATTCTCAATAGGTGTCTATTTATGTTAAAAAAATCCATGAAATATATTAGAAACTAAAATAAACAGATAATTTTCTGACCCTTGTAGGAATTAAATCTGATACCTACATAGCTTAGAACAAGAAACCCACCTAACAGATACATTAGCATTTTTATTTTTAGAAATGCTAGTTTTGGCTACAGGCTGATTAAGTCCTACTTCTTCCTCATTTAATTTCTACAAAGGCAAGGCTACGACATTAGAATTAAATCAATAGAAAAAATACACTATAAATTGATTAAGAGTATAGAGAAAAGGCTTTTAAATTCTTGATCTTCAAACTCACATCAACTTTTGGATTAAAACTTTGAAAAGACATTCGACCTTTAAATGCTCCGGGATGAGGATCACCTTCCACTATGACCACACTACATATATGTCGAAAGCCATGGGACAAAAAACAAATCAAAAGATGAAGAAACTAATTGTAGATAAGAGACAGGTGTATATCAGAGTTGTTAAATTTTAGTAAACCATAATCGCTATCACCAATATGCAAAAGGCCACGGCTACTGCCATGGCAGCAAAGTTGCAATAGTATATTGGCTTTTGACGTGGTTGCTATATATCATGACATGCAATAGCAGTATAGCGGTGCTATACCGGTTATTTAAAAACACTGAACATTAGAGGCCCATATTCGAACAGTGATTTCTGTACACCATCAAGCCTTACTAAATAATTGAAAAACAGTTAATCTTTCAGTTAGATGATAATTATAAACGAAATAGAGCAAAAAAAGTTCAAATTCTGAACTTGGAAGAGCTAGCCTATAAGCCATACCGGATAATAATAACAGTATATTACAAACTATAGCAACAAGGAATCCTAACAAAGAAAAGTACCATCTTCTAGAAATCGTTGAGGTGTCAAGTTTGACCTCTTGTTCAACTTTCTCGATTTTCTCCTCTCTTGCAGCTGCCCTTTGCATGAACTATACAATATCAAAAACAACAAACAACATTCTTAATCACTGCATGAATTTGAACTTTCAATCTTGAATCAAACAACAGTGACAAAATTCGTATGAGTAAAGGAACGAAAATTCAACAATAGAGATAGGGTTTGGTTCCTTACCTTCAAGTTCGTCAACGTGCTCGAAAGCTTTGACATTGTAACGATTTGGAAATTGCTGCTCGAAAATCTCTCACTTTCTCTACCAACTTTAACCTAGCTCCGCCAAATCTGATTTCTGAATCCAAAATTTTCTTTTCTTTTTCTTGTTTTCTTCTGTTTCAATTTATCCCACGAAATTACTAAAGTATCCTTCTTATTAAAACCAAAAATGGTTACATGACAATTTAACCTGCCACCCCATATAAATCCGACACCCCACATATTTCCTTAATCATAAAAATGTTTTTTTATTATTTAAATTTAAATTTTTTAGTATACCAAAAAATTTGTCTATATTAATTTTCGGTAGCGTAGAATAATGTTTTACTTGTGTGGTTCAAAATTGGGAGGGTCTTCTACTGATTTCTGTATAAGTTTTAAGCAATTCTTCACCATTAATGTTGTATATTTTCTATGTAACAATTTCAAAATTTAAAGGTTTGTCCGTCTCTATGATATTGATAGTTTATTCTTTATATGTTGTAAATTGTTTGAAGCAATTAAGGGGGAGTTAACACAAGAGAGCATTTAACACTGGACCAAGAGCAACACACAAGTGAGAGAGACACCACATATTCATCCAAAATCTTAAGGTAATATGTGTGTGGATTCTCTCACTTATAAAGTGTTAAATCTTCTCTTTTATAACAAATATGGAACTTCTTTCTCACACTTGATTCTCAACACTCCTCCCTCAAGTGTGAGTCTAATTCTCCCCTAAAGTGAAAGCTTTTTCTTGCACATACACTTGAATCGTCGTTAACACTCTTTAACGAGACACCTCCTACCCACCACATGTGGAGAGTAATTTCGATACAAGTAAGTTGGTCCCTTCACTCGAAACCAAAGGCTCATGATACCATTGTTGGCGCAATTCAGGGGAGAGTCAACACGAGGGAGCATTTTACATTAGGTCAAGAGCAACACACAAGTGAGAGAGACACCACATATTCATCCAAAACCTTAATATTTTAGGTGGACAACTGGTGTGTCTCCCACAAAGGTTTGTTGTTCAAATGGAAAGTCACGAAAATAAGAATACTCTTTGTGTTGAAAGCAACATGTTGCTCGACACAAGGTGTGTCGAAATAGCCTAAGTGTGTGTGTCGAATTGTTTGTCGAGTTGTGTATGTCAAAGTGTCGAAGCATGTTGCTTACACATGATTTCGACTTAGGTCTAAAATAGGTATTTTTAGCTTTTATAGTTTCGGGCTTTTGGCTTAGGGAGAAAGCAAGCTCGTTATAAATAGATAGAGTATCCCCTATTTTATAACAACTTGTATTCATAGAATTTGCAGTTGCAAATAAATAAAGATTTTCCACAGTTTATGGGCAGAGAGAAACTCTGCAGAAACCCTAATCTCTTTTCTTCTTTAATTTTCTTTTCTTTTCATCGTTATTGTGTAGTGATAACAATCTTGTTTATCAAGATTAATAGCAAGAGCTCCAGTTGAGCGATCAAGGGAAGAAAAAGAAAATCATATTGGCGGTGAATTATGCGAATGTGAATTTTCCAGCAAGTCTTCCAATTCTGAAAGTTAATAACTATGAGAATTGGTGCAAACAGATGAAGGTTATATTATGTTTTCAAGGTCTTTGGGATCTTGTAAAAGATGGATTATAACTGCTTAATGAAGATCCTTCAGATGATAAAGAGACTAGACACTGAGAATTGGAGAAGAAGAATTATAAAGCTCTCTTTATAATTCACCAATGTGTTAGTCCATAAAATTTTGAAAAGGTTAGTTATGTAGAATCTTCAAAAGAAGCATGGAAGATTCTTGAGAAATCTTTTGGAGGTGCAAGAAAGGTGAAAGAGGTGAGGTTACAAACTCACAAAAGAACGTATGAATTGCTTCATATGGAATATAATGAGAGCATATCTGTTTTCTTTACTAGAGTTACGAAACTAGTGAATCAAATGGTACTTGGAGAAATCAAGATATGTGGAGAAACATTAACAACCAGAGCGGTTGTTGCAAATATCTTAAGATCTTTGACCCCTAAGTTTGACCACGTGGTGGTGGCTATAAAAAACGGGAAAGATTTGTCTAAATTAACAAAGGAAGAAATTCAAGGGACACTTGAATCTCATGAACAAAGAATTAATGAGAGAGTTGCAGGAAAGTCGAAGAGTGATGTGGTTTTACATGCACATTCAGCAAAAGAAAGTAAAGGCAAAGGAAAATGGTTCGACAAAGGTAGAGGTGACTATAACAATTCGACTAGTAGAGGAAACCAGCAGAAATAAACTATGTTGAGTCAGAGAATACCCACATACCAAGGTAACCAACGAGGTGGTGCTGGAGGTAGAGAAAGAGGCGGTGGTAAAAAACCTGACAAGAGTTACATTGAGCGTTACAATTGTCAAAAGTATAGTTATTATTCTAGTGATTGTTCAAAAAAGCGAAAGAATCAAGAAAGTGATACAAAGTTCGTAAAGTATGAAGAAGAAGAGATTGTAAGAACAAAATTTAGGTCTGTGTTTAATCTCTAAGTTTTGATGATAACAAGCATATATTTTATGCAGAACAATTTTAGTTCTAATGGTTTCATTGAGTGCGCAGATACATTGTTAGCATTCTCGATAGTCTTAATCAAGATATCATCATAATCACTTCACCACTCAGAAGAAGAACCATTGAGTTATGTTTCTAATGTAACATCAGTAGTTCTATGGAATGTTGAATGTTCGACAAGAAAAAATTTCAATGAGTTTCCAAGAAGAAAGGATTTCTGATAAGTTATTGCTTCAAGATCAGAAATCAAAAGGACATAAGAAACAAGCTTCCAACGCAGAAGATCAGAAGTCAAGACTGGTTCATTAGAAGAGTTATTTCTTACAATTCTAAAAACAAAGTCAAGATTCTGAACATATATAGAGAAAGCTTCTACTCCAAGATCAGAAGTCAAGATTTGCTCATCAGAAGAGTTGTTGCTCGTGTATCTGAAGACAAAGTCAAGATTCTGAAGACTCAGAGATATCATGGAATACGTACCTTCATTCAACATTAGAAGTATTCCATCAGAAGAAAGGATTAAAGAAAGAAAGATCTTGTGGATTCATTTCTAATCAACATCACAAACTCCATCAGAAGACAAGATCAAAGGATAATATCTTATCAAGCCAATCTACTCAGCATAAGTAATATTCATAAGAAGACAAATATCATTAGAAATACCATTGTACTCAATAGAATAACTATTGAGACCATTTATATAGAAACATTAGTAGTTCTAAGGAATGTTAAATGTTCATCACAAATGAAATCAAGTATGTTCTCAGGAAAGTGTCGCTCTCAGATCAAAAAACATAAGCGCTTCCAAAGAAAGAAAAGAATTCATGATCAAACAACAAATATGTAGCTGACAATAAGTTGTTGCTTTCAGCTCAATCAAAAGATCAAATTTAAGAGATCAGAAAGAAGAAATTCAACACCAAATCAGATGTACTAATATAAGTTGTTGCTTCAGAAATTAGACATCAGATATACAACTTAGAAAAGATGATTATCAAAAATCAAGGAATCAAGACAAGGTCAAGATAAAGTAGTTCAGAAGAGATTTCACTCAAAGAAATTGTTCATCAGATAAGTTATTGCTTATATATATGAAGATAATGTTCAAATATCTGAAAGACTGACTCTACAACAAAGAAGAATTTTCTAGATGATTATCACTCCTCGATCATAATCAATCAAGCAGGAAGAAAAGAATCAAATCTCAAGAATTCAAATACTTGAGAATCAGATAGGTTGTTGTCACAATATCTGATTTCAAGATACAACATCAGAAAAACTTTTGATATCTTCATCAGAAAAGCTTTCACGAACAATGTCAAGACTTGTTATTTCAGATAGGTTGTTGCTGATCATTCTAAAAACAAGAATCCACTATTGAAAGAATCTGAAATGAAACATATTCCCAACATAATCTTAATATCTCATATCAAAAAAGAAATATGCCTTCAAGATTGATTCTAGATAAGAATAAAAGCTTTATGTTTCAGATAGGCTTCTGCCCATAATTCTGAAGATGATATTTGGTTGGTGTTCATGCACTACAACAACAAAGTAGTTTCTGAACTACTCATCGGTCATTCATCAGAAGAACGGAGATAAGTGATTTATCTCTTCCAAGCTTAATACTTCAGAATCAGAAGTACATCATCAGAAGATAAAGATCAAGAAACTTAGTCACGAAAAATAGTACATTAGTTGTACTATTCAAAGAAGTTGTTCTCCCACTATCGTACGTTAACCACTGCAAGTAGTAGGTCTAGGAAAGTGATGTTCCATATTGTTCCAAACCTCTCTTGAATATATATGTTGGGAATAAAATGTTGGAAGGAGAAAAGACTTATCTATCTGTTGTACCCCAAAATTTTCCCTCTCATTTATCAAGAATTTGCTTACAAGATCTCCTTTGGCTCAAGACTGCACTAGGGTTGATCAGCTCAAGACACCTCCTTAAGCACTGATAACCAAAATTAGGGTTTGAGATTGCACAAGGATATTTGAACTTTAAATGCCCCATATGGCTTTCATGGATCATTATGGACCCTTAATATCACTCATGTCAAGTTTCAAGCTTTGGATCACACTTTTGCTCAGTCAATTGAGCAGTTGACCTAAAAATCAACTGTATTGGGGAAAAAGTCAACTATGGCCAATTTATAGTCAAACTTCATAATTTTTTATCCACATCAACATTTTAAACTCATATGTATCATTTGATCAAGTTTGGACCATAATTCCTCAAGAAATTTGATCAAATCTTCAAAAGGGCAAATGGTCAAAATTAGGGTTTTGACTAGGAAAGGGCAATTTCTGATTTTTGACCTAGCAAATGATCAATTGGTTTAAGGCATGATCTCAAGAGTCCAATTGTATCATTTTTACCTAATGACATGGCTCAAAACATTGCTCAAGTTCAATGGATTGATAGATGAATTTTCAGTCAACTAATCAAAAGTCAACTGTATACTGAAAAGTCAA